TTTATCAGTGAGGAGAGCTGATTGGAGGGAAGGGACACTCCCCTCTTCATACACCACACAGGAACAGAGCGGAGGCTGTCATTCATAGGCTGTGCCCTCCCCATCACCTTTTTTCTCTTGGTGTCAGAGAAACTCCTCAGAAGTGACTCATGTTGACAGCAGAGGAAGGAGGCAGCAGACAGAAATAACTCTTAGTTCTTTGGATTGAGATAAGTACACACTATAGAGGGATATGCTTTGTTCATATTTCATGTCTGAGGTTTACAACAACTTTAAACAGCAAAAAATAAATACACTATAAGGCCAAAAGTATTGGGCCGCCTGCCTTTCCACGCACATTAATTTTAATGGCATCCCAGTCTTAGTCCGTAGGGTTCAATATTGAGTTGGCCCTGCCCTTTGCAGATATAAACAGCTTCAACTCTTCTGGGAAGGCTGTCCACAAGGTTTAGGAGGGTGTCTATGGGAAGGTTTGACCATTCTTCCAGAAGCACATTTGTGAGGTCAGGCACTGATGTCAGGGGAGGAGGCCTGGCTCGCAGCCTCCGCTCTAATTCATCCCAAAGGTGTTCTATGGGGTTAAGGTCAGGACTTTGTGCAGGCCAGTCAAGTTCCTCCACCCCAAACTCACTCCTGCATGTCTTTATGGACCTTGCTTTGTGCACTGGTGGGGAGTCATGTTGGAACGGGAAGGGGGCATCCCCAAACTCTTCCCACAAAGTTGGGATCATGAAATTGTCCAAAATGTCTTGGTAGGCTGACGCTTTAAGAGTTCCTTTAACTGGAACTCGGGGGCCAAGCCCAACCCTTGAAAAACAACCCCACACCATAATCCCCCCTCCACCAAACTTTACACTTGGCACAATGCAGCCAGGCAAGTACCGTTCTCCTGGCAACTGCAAAACCCAGACACATCCATTGGATTGCCAGACAGAAACATGATTGGTCACTCCAGAGAACACGTCTACACTGCTCTAGACTCCAGTGGCGTCATGCTTTACACCACTGCATTCGACACTTTGCATTGCAGTTGGTGATGTAAGGCTTGGATGCAGCTGCTCGGCCATGGAAACCCATTCCATGAAGCTCTCTACGCACTGTTGTTGTGCTCATCTGAAGGCCACACCAAGTTTGAAGGTCTTTAGCTATTGACTCTGCAGACAGTTGGTGACTTCTGCACACTGTGTGCTTCAGCATGCGATGACCCCGCTCTGTCATGTGATGTGGCCTACCACTTGGTGGCTGAGTTGCTGTTGTTCCCAATTGCTTCCACTTTGTTTTAATCCCACTAACAGTTGAGTGTGGAATATTTAGTAGCCAGGAAATGTCAGGGATGGATTTATTGCACAGGTGACAACCTATCATGGGACCACACTTGGAGTCCCTGAGCTCCTGAGAGCGACCCATTCTTTCACCATTGTTTGTAGAAGCAGTCTGCATGCCTAGGGGCTTGATTGTATACACCTGTGGCCATGGAGGGGATTGGAACACCTGAATCACATGATATGGAGGGCTGGCCTAATGCTGTTGGCAATATAGTGTATGTGTGCAAATATATTGTTTTTAACAAATAGTTTCAAAATGGTGAATTGTTGTGGGAATCCCCACCATGGCTACACCCATGATCCTCTGCTACTTTTTAAGTCCTGCCATCTTCCTAGAGTGAAGTCATCCCCATTATAAAAAAAGCTTTGTGAAGGGTATGACCTACTAGCAAAGCATACACATAGGGGCATAGTTGTGAGAAAAAAAAAAAACAGTGCGAATGGAGCAAAATCAAATGTTCTCAGTCTATATTCTCTGCACATTAAATGTGTGAATTTGGAACATACCACATTATGTCCACTAGACGGTGCTGAGTATCATAGGAAAATAAGTATGCTCACCAGCTCCATCGTCTGGAGGAAAAGACATTTAATCTCCAAACACGGAAAGGTTTCTTCACAGTAAAAGCTGTGAGAATGTGGAATAGACTTCCTCAAAAGTTGGTTCTGGCCAGCTCAGTGGATTGCTTCAAAAAAGACCTGGATTCTTTCTTAGATACACAAATTATAACTGGATACTAACATTTATAGGTAAAATTGATCCAGGGAATATCCGATTGCCTCTCGGGGGATCAGGAAGGAATTTTTTTACCTGCAGGAGCAAATTGGATCATGCTTTGCTGGGATTTTTTGCCTTCCTCTGGATCAACTGTGGGTATAGGATTATAACTTTTTTTTTTTTTTTCTATGGTTGAACTGGATGGACTTTTGTCTTTTTTCAGCCAGGCTAACTATGTAACTATATTGGCCATAATGTGGTATTTTCCCCAGCCACAAATCAAGCTGCAGAGAATATTGCCTGACAACTTTCGCTTTTGCACAGGACTAATTTACATGCAGTTTCTATGGTCGAAGAAACTATGCAAATTTTTTTTTTTTATACATACACCCCATGATGTCTCTAAAGGTTGAGCATAACTGTTGTAGGAGTGGCTAAATATGGAGGAAAGCAGATTAGGAGGAGCCAATTCACAATTATGGAATTTTTGCATCAGAGTCCTGATTTTATTTCAAACAATGCTTAGGCATTATTGATGTGTATCCAGCATATAAATCCCTCAATGAACATTTATAGCGCACCACTGAAATCCGTCTTTTCAAGTCCTCATACTCAATGTCATGAAAATTTTACAACAGAGAACTAGAAATGTGCACCTGTGCAAACTCCTAGTTTTCAGATCCCACTGTCAAGCTGCGAAATGCAGAGTTATACACTTTTTTTTTTTTTTTTTTAGATACAGTATGTAAGGGTTAGAACCCCTGTCAATTTTTCTCACTTCCTGTTGTGTCTTCAAGGCAAGAAGTGAAGGAAAATCTGGGACACAGTAAAAAAAATAAAAATAAAATAAACTTGAATTATTTCTCTACTCAAAAACTAGAAAAATTGTTTTGGGTTTGGTTATATTATAACTGACGCATGCTGATACCCTACTGATATTTTACATATATACATATTACAAACTGTATACAGAAATCAGTTTTAAAAAAACAAAACAAAACATTGGCACACATTACTATTCCTTCCATTAGGATGTGTATTGTCACATATAGCTAAAAAAACAGTAAAAAGGTTACAGTTCTCTTTTATAGGATTTTCGTTGTCCTTGATTCTACCTATTCTACTTCTTCTCAGGCTCACCCTTGTCACCCTCTTCTAACCATAAGCCCTCCACCCCCCCCCCCCCCCCGTCATCTTTTTTGAGGAACTGACTCTTCACAATGGTCCAAAGAACCAGCTTATCAGCCTAATCACCTTTATGGCAGGACATTGTGATAGTTGTCCCCTTAAGGCTGGGGTCAATAAATATAGGAATTGGAGTTATCCTAAATTTCCACAAATGGGTCACAAAACTGTATCTGGTGCATGTTCCAGGTGCCAGGCACAGAAAAAAGGCAACATCACCCAAACAAGAAGATGGGCCAATTTCATTTCCAAAACTGTATCTGGTGCATTTTCCATGTGCCAGGCACAGAGAAGAGGCAACTTCACCCAAATAAGAAGGTGGGCCAATTTCACTTCCAAAACTGTATCTGGTGCATTTTCCATGTGCCAGGCACAGAGAAGAGGCAACTTCACCCAAACAAGAAGGTGGGTCAATTTCATTTCCTACTAAGGCTTTACTGTTGTCTGCGATTCAATGAAAACATCTCTCCCTCATCTCAAGAATGGTCAAGTCAAGCTCAGCTATCGCTGACTGGCTTATCTGACGAATGAGCTCTTCATGATGGTCCGAAGACGTGGCCATGTATGGGGGTCATCTTTAAAGGTGGGATTGGCTTTGTGATCTGATACATTTTCCATGTACCAGGCACAGAGAAGAGGCAACGTCATACAAACAAGGTGGGCCAATTTCATTTCCTTCTAAGACTTTACTGTTGTCTGCGAATCAATGAAAATATCTCTCCCTCATCTCAAGAATGGTCAAGCCAAGCTCAGCTATTGTCACTGGCCTATCTGATGAATAGGCTCTTCACGATGGTCTGAAGACGTGGCCATGTATGGGGGTCATCTTTAAAGGTGGGATTGGCATTGTGATCTGATGCATTTTCCATGTGCCAGGCACAGAGAAGAGGAAACTTCATACAAACAAGAAGGTGGGCCAATTTAATTTCCTACTAAGGCCTTACTGTTGTCTGCGAATCAATGAAAATATATCTCCCTCATCTCAAAAATGGTCAAGCCAAGCTCAGCTATCGTTGTCACTGGCCTATCTGATGAATGGGCTCTTCACGATTTCCGAAGACATGGCCATGTATGGGGGTCATCTTAAAAGGTGGGATTGGCTTTGTGATCTGATGCATTTTCCATGTGCCAGGCACAAAGAAGAGGCAACTTCACTCAAACAAGAAGGTGGGCCAATTTCATTTCCTACTAAGGCTTTACTGTTGTCTGCAAATCAATGAAAATATATATCCCTCATCTCAAGAATGGTCAAGCCAAGCTGAGCTATCGTTGTCACTGGCCTATCTGATGAATGGGCTCTTCACGATGGTCCGAAGACGTGGCCATGTATGGGGGTCATCTTTAAAAGTGGTAGTGGCATTGTGATAGGTGTGACCGAAGGGCTATGGTCAATAAATATGGAGATTTGAGGCAGCCTAAATTTCTACAAATGGAATATTAAAATGTATCTGATGCATTTCCATTGTGTCAGGCACACAGAAAAGGCAACTCCACCCAAACAAGAAAGTGGGCAGATTTTCTACTAAGGATTTACTGTTGTCTTTGACGTCAATTAAAATATCTCTCCCTTATCTTGAGAATGGTCAAGCCAGACTGAGCTACCATTGTCACCAGCCTATCTGCATTCAGCATGCTTGCGCTCCTCTAGTGGCAAAGCTTGGCCTTTCATAGTTATACCAGGACAAAGGGGGTAGGTGTTCTTTCCAGTAGGATGACAGGCCATTAAACCACAAACAAATGTCTGTGGCTGCTCTCCAAACAGCTAAAACTTTTCAGGTGGGCCTGCCTTCAGCCTTGTTTCTGTGACGTTTTTCGTGCCTGCCAAGGTCCGATTTCTGCGCAAAGCATTTTCCACATTGGAAACACGTATAAGGCTTCTCTCCCGTGTGAACTCTTTGGTGCTTTTCCAGAAGTCTCCTTTGGGTAAAACGTTTGTCGCACTCAGAACACGAATAGAGGTTCTCTCCAGTGTGGAGTCTTTGATGGTCTGCCAGAGTTGTTTTGTATGTGAAACACTTCCCACACTCTGCGCAAGAAAAGGGACCTTCGCCCGTGTGGCTTCTAAAGTGATCCACCAGACACGCCTTTACGGCAAAACACCGTCCACATTCTGAACAGGAGTACGGCTTCTGGCCCAGGTGTGTCTTCCGATGCTTGACCAGGTAGGATTTCAACGTGAAGGACCTGCCACATTCCGAACATGTAAATGGCTCCTCGCTGGTGTGCCTTTTCTGATGCTCGTCTAGGTAGGACTTCTTTGCAAAACATTTCCCACATTCGGAACAGGAGAACGCCTTCTCCAACGTGTGTGTTCGTTGATGTCGAACTAGGTTGGACTTCAGCTTAAAAGGTTCCCGCACTGGGAGCAAGAGAATGGGGCTTCATCTCGATGGAACCATTTGTGCCTAGAGAGACATGATTTCCATCTGAAACGTTTACCACACTCGGGACATGGATAAATCTTTTCATCGGTCTTGTTCCTGTCGTTGTCAGTGGAGCACGCGTATGGCTTTGTGTTTATGTGAACCTGCCTATGCGCATTGAGACGGGACATGTACGCAAATGACTTTCCACATTCAGAACATGAATATGGTTTCAACCCTACGCAAGTTCTTTTGATAAGATCGGCTTTTTCTAGGAAATTCTCATTTTCAGAACATGGGAGGGTTTCGGTTTTTTTCGCAGAAGTGGAATGATTAAGAGGATGGGATTGAGGAAGATTCCCTTTATGTGTAGAAGGATCGGATGATAGATCTTCATTGGGAGATAGACAGAGATCTGAGATGATGGGGTTTTCTTTTCGGGAATCCTCTGGGAGATCATCGTCCTCTGCTTTAGATTCTGAAGGGTCAACTGGACATTTCTCATGGCTATTCCTAATGTATCGCCCATCTGGAGATAAAAAAAATAAAAATTATGCAAAAGAAAAAGTTTAGGATTTTTCGAAATAAAATTCCTAAAACATAAATACTGCCAGAGAAATGCTTTAACCACTTCAAGTCCGGACACTTTTATCCCCTTCCTGTCCAGGCCAATTTTCAGATTTCAGCGCCATCACACTTTGAATGACAATTGCGCAGTCATGAGTCACTGTATGAATTTTTTAGCATTTTTTTGATTCAGATAAAATTTTATTTTGGTGGTATTTATTCACCACAGGGATTTTTATTTTTTTTGCTATATAAATGAAAAAGTCCATAAATTTTGAAAAAGTGTTTTTCTTATAAAATGTTGCAAATAAATAATCTTTCTTCATAAATCTTGGTCAAAAATGTATTAATCTATCTTATTAGTAAAAAAAAAAAATAACCCAAATTAGTTTATAACCAAAAATTATAATTTTTCAAAAATTGTTTTTACATTTTTATTTTTTTTTTATATTATTATTTATAGGTTTTTTTTTAACATACCGTCACCCTAGTAGTACAGTATCACCAAAGTGACACTGTACTACTTGTGGGGGGAGATGAAGAATTTTTTTTTTTTACACTGATTGCTTTTGCACCTATAAAAGCTGTAAAAGCAATCATTTCTCCTTCTCTCTGGCTGCATTCTTGCAGCCATTGAGAAATACCTTTATGAACGGCAACCCGCCTCTGCACTGCTCCCATCTGGCAGTTTATATACATGGGCCTGACGGGAAGTGGGTAAAGCAGAATTAAGGCAAAGCCTTTTATCCAATTTGTATTTGAATGTTTTTATGAAATAAAGAAACAGCATACAGAGTAACAAAACCCACAATTGTGAGTGTCAAGATTTCAAATAATAAGTCCATGCAAGAATAAATGATACAATCATAAAATAAAAGGATGGAGAAACGGACTGAGCAATTAGGTATGAGACTGAGCAATCCCTCCGGCACAAATTAGAGACCAAGATAAATCACAACAGGAAACAAAAGTCCGGCACAGAATGCACAATGAGAATTAAGTGACCCCAAAATGATTCAGTCCTTAATCAGATCCCAGTATATATTACAAAACGGTGAAATGTTGGAATCAAAACCACAGAAAACAATAGTGATGAAGTAAGGGAGAAGGAGAATAAAGAAAGAGTAGAGTAAAGGAGGATCAACCAGAAGTTTTTTAAAAAACGGAAAAGTATCGAATCCATGGTTCCCAAATACTGTTGAATTATGAGGCATTCATAGTAAGAATACAGGTGAGCTTATCATTAATCATGATCTAATTGAGTTTATTTTTTACATAGTTACATAGTTAGTCTGGCTGAAAAAAGACAAAAGTCCATCCAGCTCAACCATAAAAAAAAAAAAAAATTATAATCCTACACCCACAGTTGATCCAGAGGAAGAACTGGCAAAAAAAACCAGCAAAGCATGATCCAATTTGCTCCTGCAGGGGAAAAAAATTCCTTCCTGATCCCCGAGAGGCAATTGGATATTCCCTGGATCAACTTTACCTATAAATGTTAGTATCCAGTAATATTCTGTGTATTCAAGAAAGAATCCAGGACTTTTTTGAAGCAATCCACTGAGCTGGCCAGAACCAACCCTTGAGGGAGTCTATTCCACATTCTCACAGCTCTTACTATGAAGAAACCTTTCTGTGTTTGGAGATTAAATTTCTTTTCCCCCAGACGTAAAGAGCGCCCCCTTGTCCTCTGTGATGACCTCAGGGTGAATAACTCTACACCGAGTTCACTATATGAACCACTGATGTATTATACATGGAGATCATATCCCCCCTTATGTATTATACATGGAGATCATATTCCCCCCTTATGTATTATACATGGAGATCATACCCCCCTTATGTATTATACATGGAGATCATACCCCCCTTATGTATTATACATGGAGATCATATCCCCTCTTATGTATTATACATGGAGATCATATCCCCCTTATGTATTATACATGGTGATCATATCCCCCCTTATGTATTATACATGGAGATCATATCCCCCCTTATGTATTATACATGGTGATCATATCCCTCCTTATGTATTATACATGGAGATCATATCCCCCCTTATGTATAATACATGGTGATCATATCCCCCCTTATGTATTATACATAGAGATCATATCCCCCCCTTATGTATTATACATGGATATCATATCCCCCCCCCCTTATGTATTATACATGGAGATCATATCCCCCCTTATGTATTATACATGGAGATCATATCCCCCCTTATGTATTATACATGGAGATCATATCCCCCCATATGTATTATACATGGAGATCATATCCCCCCATATGTATTATACATTGAGATCATATCCCCCCTTATGTATTATACATGGAGATCGTATCCCTCTTATGTATTATACATGAAGATCATATCCCCCCTTATGTATTATACATGGAGATCATATCCCCCTTATGTATTATACATGGAGATCATATCCCCCTTATGTATTATACATGGAGATCATATCCCCCCATATGTATTATACATGGAGATCATGTCCCCCCATATGTATTATACATGGAGATCATGTTCCCGCTTATGTATTATACATGGAGATCATATCCCCCCTTATGTATTATACATGGAGATCATATCCCCCCTTATGTATTATACATGGAGATCATATCCCCCCATATGTATTATACATGGAGATCATATCCCCCCATATGTATTATACATGGAGATCATATTCCCGCTTATGTATTATACATGGTAATCATATCCCCCCTTATGTATTATACATGGAGATCATATCCCCCATATGTATTATACGTGGAAATCATATCCCCCCTTATGTATTATACATGGAGATCATATCCCCCCTTATGTATTATACATGGAGATCATATCCCCCCATATGTATTATACATGGAGATCATATTCCCGCTTATGTATTATACATGGAGATCATATCCCCCCTTATGTATTATACATGGTGATCATATCCCCCCTTATGTATTATACATGTTGATCATATCCACCCCTTATGTATTATACATGTTGATCATATCCCCCCCTTATGTATTATACATGATGATCATATCTCCCCTTATGTATTATACATGGAGATCATATCCCCCTTATGTATTATACATGGTGATCATATCCCCCCTTATGTATTATACATGGTGATCATATCCCCCTTATGTATTATACATGGAGATCATATCCCCCCTTATGTATTATACATGGAGCTCATATCCCCCTTATGTATTATACATGGTGATCATATCCCCCCTTATGTATTATACATAGAGATCATATCCCCCCTTATGTGTTATACATGGTGATCATATCCCCCCTTATGTATTATACATGGAGATCATATCCCCCTTATGTATTATACATGGAGATCATATCTCCCTTTTGTATTATACATGGAGATTATATCCCCCCTTATGTATTATACATGGAGATCATATCCCTCTTATTTATTATACATGGAGATCATATCCCCCTTATGTATTATACACGGAGAATATATCCCCCTTATGTATTATAAATGGAGATAAAGATAAAGTTGATCCAGGGAATATCCGATTGCCTCTCGGGGGATCAGGAAGGAATTGTTTTCCCTGCAGGAGCAAATTGGATCGTGCTTTGCGGGTTTTTTTTGCCTTTCTCTGGATCAACTGTGGGTGTAGGATGATAACTTTTTTTTTTAAATGGTTGAACTGGATGGACTTTTGTCTTTTTTCAGCCAGACTATCTATGTAACTATCATGAATGTAGTTTGCCAGAAACGTATTAAAGCGCAAAGCCAAAACCTTAGTGAGGATCTTTTGTTTGCCATTGATCAGAGAAATAGGATGGTAATTAGGAACAGCAGTGGTATCTTTGTTAGGTTTGGGAATGACATATATGTTCTATTCTCATCAAATGGTACCACACCCCTATCCTGCAGATGATTAAAGTAATGAGCCATATGTGGAATCAAAAGATCAGAGAAGGTTTTATAATAATTATAAGGAAGACTATCAGGTCCCGGTGATTCTGGATCTCCTCACAAGTAATATGTTGGTCCATCAGGTCTCTATGGGCCTCCTGGAGAGATGGAAGAGTCAAAGATGTCAGGAAATGGTTAACGGTTGGGGAGGCATTGTCTCGAGGTTGACAATAAAGGGCAGTATAAAGAGAATGGAATTCTATCAGAATATTACCAGGGTCCTTGGACATAGTACCAGTCTAATTTTAGGAAGAGCTATATGGGAGTTTTTAGGAGACAATTTACGTGCCAACAGGGAGCCTGGCCTATCCCGCCACGTGAAAAATGTATGATTAGCACAACGTAACTGTTTATCTGCTGTAGTAGTGAGGCATAAGTTAAGTTCCAAGCGAGCCTGATCAAGTTTAGCTAATAAGTCAGGGTCGGGGGTCTGTTTATGTTGGGCAGCAAGATCAGTATAAGCTTTGGATTTAGCCAAAATTAATCCATCACGAGCCTTTTTAAGTCGGGAGAATAGTTGAATAAGAAAGCCCCTAACCGAAGCCTTAAGGGCCGCCCAATTGATAGCAGGATTCGTGTCCTCTGCCTTATTAGTTTCAAAATAGAATTTCAGATGAGCTGAAATATCAAGACAATAGGATATATTGCTCAAGAGAGATTCATTAAGACACCAAAGAGGGTTAGCCGTCTTGTTCGTCAAGGTAGAAAGCATTAAGAGGACTGGATCGTGATCAGGCCAAGATCCAGAAACAATCTTAGTAACTAATTTAGGTAGTAGTCTCATGAGAATAAATATATGATCAATGCGGAAATAACAATTATGAGCTTTGGAGAAATGAGAATAGTCTTGGGAAGTTGGGTTAGCTTCTCTCCAGCCGTCGACTAAATCATAGTGAAATAATAGCTGGGCAAACTTGCGGCTCTGTCTGGAAGGGGATCTAAGCATGGCGGCACGGGATCTATCCAACATC